GAGAGAGAGAGAGAGAGAGAGAGAGAGAGAGAGAGAAAAGACAGGAGGAAAGAACCAATGGGTTGGGCTTGAATCTGGTTGGATCTTTTCCACTGTCCAGTGGCCTAGGTTTCCCCATTAGTGACTCCTGCCCTGTGGACAGATGTGAGAAGCCAGGTCATCTGGGAGCCCTTCCTTACCGGATGATGTCTGTGTACTCCCGGTCCTTGCCTTTGCTCTCTTTCCACTTCCTGTACATCACAGAGGCGTCCACGTTAGCTGGGGAAAAGGTGTTGGGTTCGTTGAGGAGGGAGATGACGCTCAGGAGGATGGTCCTGGGGGAGGGAGCACAAAGTCAGCGGGTACAGGGTGTGAGGGGTGTTCACTGGCTGCACTACACATCCTGGAAGCCAGGTCCGACGTTGTAGCAGGAGCCACAGGCTGAGCACAGCCCCCTGGTGGCTGCCATTTATTGGAGAACACGCTAAGTGCCAGCTGTGCAGCCTCTGAGGCCTGAATGTCACTTGGGGAGTTTGCCAATACCCACTCAGAGATCCCCTTGTACCTCCCTACCCCAAAAGCAACATCTGTCTAGACTTCTGAGCGGGCCTTCCCTGACTACTCCTGCCCTTTGCCGCATGCCCAGCTCTCTGGACAAGACATGTGTGGGCAGTCAAGCCCAGGAGCACCTTCCTTCCACTTGAAACACGCCTCTTCCATGCCCTAGTGCCCTGCCTGGCAAAAGGGTCCCTCTGTGCTACCATCTCTTACTATGGCCTGTGCAGGACTAAGGATATGCAGGCAAAGAGGTGGGGTGCCAGGCCTGGGGACTTGGCTAGGCTCAGTGGAGGATGAGACAGGAGGGGAGACCTCAGGGTAAGGCAGAGGGAAGATCCTGTGGGCAGAAAGATATGAACACAGGATTCCCATTTGATGGGGCAGTGTGTGTCAGGAAATGAGGGGAGAGGCCAGCAGAGATGGCCCCGGACCCCGAGGGCCCCAGCATGCTTGCAGAAGACCAGTTTCAATAGATGCCAAAGCACTGCAAGGAGCTGTGACCCCAAGGATGACACAGGTGTGTCTCCCCATGTCCGGAGCAAAGAAGTCAGAAATGCTGGGGGTCGGTGGGGGGGCACGTCTACCTGCTGACCAGCCTCACCTGACATTTTGGGTGGGGTTCCACCGCTCCGAGGGCAGCTCACCGCTCTGGGGGTCATCGACTGGGGGGTGGAGAATGGAGATGCACACGTCCCCTGTCTGTGCAGGGACAGGAGGGAGGGATCAGTGCCCATACCAGCATGTCAGGCCACACAGTGCCCCTCCCCTGCCCGCCCCCATTGCAGAGAGGCCGGGAGGGATAAGTGGGGAGAGGCAGGCTCACCTCATAGATGTTGGGGTGCCACATCTTGGTCAGGAACCGAAAGGCTGGTGGGGAGTAAGGGTAGTCGATGGGAAACTTGAGGCGTGCCTGGGGGGTGGGCAGAGAGCAGGAGGACTCAACAAGGGCTGGCCCTGTTGTCCCATCAGTGCCGAGTATGGGTGCAGGCTGGACAGGACAGGATACCTCTTGAGGACTCCGTCCATAAACACACAAACAAGGACATCAGGCTGGGATGGACACCCTCTACAGAAGGGCTGCTCAGCTGGGACGGGCACTTGTGTGCACAAGGAATCCTGCACATGCCGCACAAACCCCTAATAGATCTGGGGTCAGGTGGACAATAGGTTGCCATGGGCTTTTTGGGGGTCACCTGAGCTGATCCTGGTAACCATCCTGCTACTGGGGAGTGTGGGCACTTGCCCAAGGAGCAGCTCCAGGCCCATCTGGCCCAGGCCTGTAGGAGGGTCAGAGAGGAGGGCCCCAAGGTGGGCTCACACCAGCTCACACCAGCAAACAGCTCCACAGACCAGCAGGGGCCTAGGCCCTGGGAGCTGTGCGCCTCAGTACAGTGCTGGACTCCCTGCCTCAGTGCCCAGGTTGTGGGGAGGATTAAAATAGATGTGTGTTCACTTGGCAGGTCTTCCCGATACCTCTGTGGCCTGGGCCCTGTGGGAGATGAGTCAGTGCTGGGTGGACACACTCTGCCCACAGGTGTCCATCTTGGGAGATCAAGAGGCAGACAGGAAGGTCACGTGGGAGACGGGGAGGGCCACCTGACCCATTGGGTGACAGAGCTACACAGTTTCAGTAGGTGAGGAAGCTTCTTTTGCTTGCTTAAGCCCCAAGTCGCAGGTTTCGGGACATCTGGCCCAGGATCCTGGCAGTGCCTCAGGCTCTCAGGGGCGAAGAGCAGGCTAGGGGCCACAGAGGAACAGGGCATCTCTGCTGGGTGGGGGCCATTTGGGTCAAGTCCTTCTGCTCTCGGCTAAATGATGAGGCTACTAGCTGTGGCAGCAGAACAAGTCTGGAATCTGGGTCCCCCAAACCCAGTGCTGGGCTTCTAAGTGACGACCTGAGAAATAGCTGAGGCCTCCTCAGTGGAGCAGGGGGGACAGGCCTTCCCTGCACCAAGCACCCATCAGGTCTCATAATGCCTTGTTTACCTCTGAGAATGAAAGCACCTTCCCCAAGGGCACACAGCAAGTGAAGTATGGAGGGGGCTCCAGAACCTGGTTTCTCTGACACCCCTTCAGCACACTATACTGCCCGGGGGCCTGTCTCATAAAGGAGAATTAGGGGCAGCTGGGTTGGGCCTCGAAAAGGTGCTGGAGGAAGTGGTTGGGAAGTGACGGTGGCCCATGGGCATTTCCACATCTCCTGCGGAAGAGGGTTAAACCCACTCCCTACCTGACCACACGGAGACCGGAATGGGAGGACTGGGTGGGTGGCAGAACCACTCTAGACTCCATACTGGCTTCCTTGAGGATAGACCCTATGGCAGATGTGACCCAAGTCTGGCAGGCTCCCTCCACAATCCATTCTTTTCTAGGAAAATGAGATTGTCCCCAGGAAAACCTGGGAGGCTCTCCTCACAATCCCTGCAACCACTGAGGAAGCCACAGCCAGACACCACATCCTTGACCACTCTAGGCAATCTTGTCCGGGCCTGGCTTCGCCTAAGGGTGGGATCCTGGTTCTGAAGGAGCCCTTATCCTCCCAGCCTGCTGCTCTCCAAGCAGACAAAGGCCGCTAGGGAGGGGGCTGGGTAAACCTTTCAGCAATCAGCCCCAAATCTGTTCCCCGCCTGGGGCAGTCTGACTCGAAATTCACAACTCAGACCAGGGCTGTTCATACTCCTCCCCTCATCCCACCCCAGGAGGCCAGGCGGCTCCCTCATAGACAACTGAGCAGGTGAGACCAAAACATTAGTCAAAAGTGCAAACAGAGACATCTGTCTGGGCAGCACTGCCCCTCCCTCCCCACCTCCCAGCCTGGCCTCGCTGTGGTTTCTGCTCCCCACCCAGGCCTCCCAGCCAGGCAAAACCTGGCAGGTCCTAGCCATGCTCTTGGCAGGCTGTGATGGGGTGTGTTCCTCTGCTCAATGCTCATTTCTCACCTCTCCCACAAGGAGACCCCTTGCCTCATCCCTCTGGCTCAAAAAGTCAAGGCCTGCTACCTGAAAGGGGTCCTTCCTAGGCCACATCTGGACTAAGATCATGAGGATGAGAAAGCTGCCCGAGTCCTCTGTCGCACCAGTCCCAGGGAAAGCACCTACTTCCCTTTCCTGATCCCAACAACAACAACAACAACAACTACAACAACAACGGAACTGCTTGGAATGAAACCACAGGAGAAACGGCCCAGAGTGAGATTCTGGCCATCTGCTCAGTGGGACCTGAGCAAGGCCAGCTAGGGAGAGAGGAGCTGGAGCTTTGAGGCGAGGGTCCTGGAGGCCCACGGGGCTGCCCCCGGAGTGTGGCTCCCAGGACAGGGGAGGTCGGAGTGACACCTCCGCCCCAACCTTCCCGAGAGAACAGGTTTTGTAAAACTCCGGATAAAGCTGCGAGGGCTTGGCCCGCTGCTATCGGCAAGGGTGGCTGCTTTCCAAGCAGGTCCGGCTGCCAAACCCATCCAGGCCTTTGTTAGCATCTGAGCAAGTGGCGGAGCCAGACCCCTACCCCCACACCGCCGGCCACCCTCCCTCCCTGCTGCCCTCCCCGAGGCCAGTGCTCCCCAACAATAGTGCTTGCTGGTTCTGGGGAGGTCTTTGTCTGTTCCGGGCAGGGGGCTGGGAAAGCGGCTGAAGGCTGGGTTCGCCAGGGCGGGGCCGGGAAGGGGGCACCAGGGGCTGAGACTTCCCAGTAGGGAGGTAAACAAGAACCCGCCCAAACAAAACAGCGCCCCGAACCTCCACTCGGGGGGGAGGGTCTGAGTTTAAGTTCTTGGGGATTCCTGGGGCCTGGGAAGGGGTGACTGAGGAACCCCGAGTGACAGCGGAGAGCCTGGGCAAAGGGAGAGGGGGATCACCATGCGAGAAGGGTCGGGGCATCCGAATGGGCTGCGGGCTCACCTTAAAGTAGCCGCCCTCGTAATAGGTGTTGGGGGGGCCGAAAATGGCCACCTCCCAGTTGTACAAGTCGCCCTCGTCCACCAGGGTCACCCGGAAGCCCTCCACCGGTTCCTCCTGCAGCCCCTTGAGCTCGAGCAACAGCGCCTTCTGTGAGCTGGGTACCAGCGGCCGGGCCATGGCGGCGGCGGCGGAGGAGGAGCCCGGGAG